TTGGTGTGTTAATTTTACATCTGAAACGGGTCGTTCTAAATGCAAAATTAACACACCACCAGTACATCAGATGCAAAATTAACACACCAAGAGTGCACCCAGAACGACCCGTTCTGGTTTCAGAACGGGCCGTTCTGGTTCCAGGTGTTTTCAAGAGATTTGGCATCCACGTGGCATCCACCTATGCATCTACGTGGTATCCACGTGGCCAGTAGTTAACTTCGTTTAAATAATTTGGACGGAAGTCCGACATTGCAACCAATTAATTTATTAGGGACCAAATTGAGACAAAAAATAAAAGTGGGACTAAATTGAAACAAACAATTATTATAAGGGACCAAATTAGGTTTTTAGCCAGTATGTTTTTATGTTATTAGTGAACTAGTTAGTTTCAGATTTTATTATTCAACTATTAGTAAAAACTCCTAAAATCATATAGCATTATTTTAATTGTAAAAGGATGCATATTTTCTAATTATTTTTAGTCTCTATTGTGGAGAAAAGATAACACTAAAAGGGGTGTTGAATAGTATGTATCCAAAACTCGCATTTTTTTGTAGTGACTATGGAGGTTTTTGAAAACCTCTGCGATTTTTTAAACTCACACTTTCTAATTATTTTTAGTCTCTATTGTGGCGAATGTAACTATGGAGGTTTTTGAAAACCTCTGCGATTTATTTTGCAGAAGGTAAAAACCTCCACTAAACGCAAAATTAACCTCCATTATTTAGCACATTTGTTGTAGTGGTAGTAACACTAGTCAAATGGAGTGTGAAGGGAAGTCAAACAAAACACTGCATATTTTTATACTGATTCGTCTCAACCACCGAGACTACATCCAGTTCTCAATATAATTAGATTGAGTTTCACTATCTTTCAACAAAAATACAAGTATTATTTCAACACGCATTCAACATGCCACTTTTCGCTCAACCCTAGGTGTTCTTTGACTTGTCTCTTCAAGTAACTATCCATGTATTTTTCCACAACAAATCTCTCAAGGCTTAACAGCCAAGTATTCTTTTTCAAATAAGTCTCTCTAGGCTCAACTAAGTATTGTTTTACAAACAAGCCTCTCTAGGCTAAACCTTATAACAATGGTTATGAAGATTACAAAGATCTTGTTTTCGTCTTACTTAGATGTTATACAATCAATATAATATACTAAGTTGTTTAAAAGAAAGAATAAAGTTTATACACTAGTATAATTTACAAGGTGTGTTTCTTCGTGTATACTTTAATACATGTGTCTATCTTCTTTCTTGAGCTTCGAATCTTCTTATGTAGTAACTTTGGAGAAAATGACCATTGCAACACTTTAAGTTCGGCTTATAAGTTTGTTTCGTCTGTTTTCAATGTTTTTCCTTGTGATGGGAGGTAATTGTTGACTCATTTAATGGTACTTATCTAATCAAGGAAGTTAATTATCATCTTTCCATACTAAACAAAGCTTGTAGAAGCAATGTCAGCACAGAGCAGTAACAACACTTTTATTTGCTTTTCTTCGTGATTTTAGGGATCTTCATCCTTGGTTCTGACATAAAGCATGATCTTGTTCTCTTCAACAAATTTGTGAGTTCTAAGATGAACATTTAATGAATAAAGCATTCAGATGGATTTTGTCGTTAATCTTAATAAATAATGAATATTTAATGTATATGAGACAAACTATATGTTTTGTCTGATTCACATTGTCTTATAGACAATTTGTATTTTATACTTTGTCTGATAAAAATTTTTGAAGACATTTTCTATTGTAAAAATATTTCGTTTATAACATTAAAATCCCAAAACTTTAGGGATCCAAGACTGTCTTTTGACTTAACATCTATTTTGTTTAAGATTGTTTTACCCTTTACTAATTGTACCCTAATGAGATTTTATTTGACCTAGCAGTTATCTAGGAAAAGTGAGATATGGTGATAAAAAAAATACATGAATTAAATTATTTTTTAAAAGTATGGCAAAATAGGTGGCTAAAAAAAGAGATAGAGAAATAAAGATTAATGGTTATGATAATTGCTTCGAGATATAAAACAACAATAAATACAATGAAGAAAGGAGACGTAAGTGTTATGGTGATGACTATGTTTTTATTTGAATCAAAAGTATAGTCATCACCATAACACTTATGTCTCCCTCCTTAATTGTGTTTGTTGTTGTTTTATATCCCAAAGCAGTTATTATAACCATTATTCTTTATTCTTTATTTCCTATTTTAGCCACGTATCTTGCCACGATTTTAAAAAATAATTTAATAGTTATATTTTATTAGAACCACCATATCCCACTCTTCATAGATAACTTCTAGGTCAAATAAAATCTCACGAGGGTACACAACATCCTAGTCTTGAGTGTTTTCAAGACGAAGAGACCAAGTAAAATTAAATTTTCCATAGTAAAGATATGAATTTAATTAGCCACACACAAACCAATATATTTGTTTTCATAAAATAGTGAGAATTAATACTAAGTGATTTTTATCTTT